GATGCCCCTCCAGTGGAGAAAACTTGGTATAAAGCCCTTTAAGATGCCTTTCTATTGGAAAAAACTTCATATCTATCTGTTTTGTTTGCTCACACAGTGGAAAAATATGAAGCAGGGTATGTGAGTGACTTTGTTTTGGGATTATTTTGTCTCTCTTTAACTTTAAACGGTCAAAGAAACAATCATTTCCTCTTTTGTTTGTCATACTTCAGATCAGAGTTGTTTGAGTAAACTGTGTACAGGATGGAAATGTTCATTAAACCAAACGTACGTCTGAACACACAGATCTTCTTGGGTAAAGTAATAGGAGGTCAGCTCACAGACGGCTGCAAACTCTCTCTGGTGGAGCTCTCCAAGTTCTTGACCTACATAAAGTATCTGCATACATTTATCTCCAGCCTCCCATTGGCTCCTTGTTAGTGATGTTGTCCTGAATATTTTCCTTTCATGTCAGGATGAATTAGGTTATGTTTCTGAACATCCGGTCAAGCTGCTTTTTGAGGCTGAGGATCTCTTTACTCGGTTTCTGATGTGCTGTGGTCACAGCGCCTCCTCATAAACGCTTTTCCTCCCTCGAAGTATCACCAAAATCCATGTGTTTGCTGGTCATTACATTTATAGATATTTGATCTTAGAGTAAATAAACTTTGAGTAAATTTGTGAGCATCTATCTTAACCCTCTGTTCCTACAATGTAAGTTTTGAGGACATTTGTCATTTTTTTCATTCTTCTTTTGAGTTGTTTAGTTGTTTTTATCATATTAAAAACAAACAAACAAAACAAAAAAAAAACTATGTGTCACCTGTGGTTCTTTGTTGCCACATTTTAGCTCCATCCACCCTCCTTTGTCTGCAAATCGGACAATAGACTTCCATGAAAAAACATGTTTTTTGACCATGTGTTTATGGCACCATAACAACATATTACAACCTTTTTTTTGCACTCACTTGATCACCAGGGCTCTAAATTTTACTTTCCGACAGTGATACAACAGATTGAGCCAGCACGTAATTTTAACCCCTTCGGTACCACGCACGCAAGTCTTCATTCATTAAATGAGAGTGCTTGAAGCGCTGATTTATCCACTAAACAACATTAGAAATGAATGAAACTTTACATACCACTAGATATGGATGTCTAAGAGTAATAAGAGTGGGATATGTGTGAAAGGAAAAGTTTGTGTGCTCCTGCGCGTGTGCATGGGTGCGAATCTGCATCCATGTTTATAACCAGGCATGCCGCGAGAGTAGTTTTTACAGTCTTTGGTACATATTTTGGTTCGAGGTGGATAACCACTTGTAAATGATTCCTATCTTACATATATCTTCTGATTTTATATGCCTATATATAAAATTTATTTAACATGAACAAATGGATTTGATCACATTTGATTTGGTAGAGGACGAGGCTCGAGAAAAGGAAGTGAAAATGGCGTGTTTTTCCGCTCCAAAAGACTGGGCTGTTTAGGGCACACTCTTTATCAAAAAAAAGTAAGAAAATATTAAAAAATGATGACTTTATGAACACTTATCTGCATGTCCGTTTTGGGGACAAAGTAGGCTGGATGGATCTTAAAATTAACAGGAACTAAGTTTCTTATGTGCACCAAATTTTTGACAGCAGTCATGTTATGATTCCTAAATCAAAAAGTCAGCATGCAACGTGGCTCTTGATAAAAAGTCAGGTGCGAGTTGAGCATCCTCTGAGGATAATGAATATGAATCCTTCATTAGATTAAATATTTCAGTCTTGAGGCTTTTTAATCTTTATTTACCAATCAGTCTTTAGTTTAATAGCAGTGGAGTGGAAGATCTTCTTTTAACAGGCAGAAACCTCGAGCAGAACAAGACTGATGTTAGACTGAGACTGAGCTGAGTTTAGAGAGGAGAGAGAGAGAGAGACAGAGATGTCAAACATCTGCAGCAGCGATCTAGAAGAACCAATGTCATGATGGAGCTCAAGGACTCCCATAAAGATGGTGGCAGTTTTCAAATTCGCCTACTATGCTAGCAGTACGCACTGATTTGCCCAAAATTTAGTGTGCAGTATGCAGTCAGCGAACAAATGCAAAATCTGCAGTATGCCAAAAATACCCGGATGACGTACTGATTCGGGAAAATTTCACAGTATGCATCGGACCAGTCTGTTCGCCTACTGTTGCCCACAATGCAAAGCACCTAGGCAGACGGCGGAATAGCATAGAACAGCAAAACTTTTCACCGGAGCGTTCATTTTCTAAGAGGACAGCTAAAAGTTTTCTCCTTCTGACAGCCTGTCTTCTTCTCCTCCTTCTTTCAGCATTATGAGGGAAAACAACTGACCAGAATGTTTTGTTAACATACCGTACAGTTTTTATCCTCGATTTCCATCACCTCAAATTTTTCTGCTTCTCTTCGTCCTTTATACTGTACGGTACGCGTGATGCTTACCACACAAGGGGTCAATCAGCGATGTTTACATAACACAGCAGGACAGACTGCTGGTATTAGACGGGGTCTAAAAAAATTTGAAATATATTGACAGGAGACAGGAGTTTGTATTAGAGGGTTTTCACTATCGTTGTCAAAATATTGGGACAAAGGGAAATAAGACCACACCACGCAGACTCCATCAGTTAACACGTTCAGCGAGGATTGTAACCATAGACTGTATATACTATGGACTACTTGGTTCCGCCTCCCGCCTATATACTGATTTGAAGCCAAAAGCTTTCGGTATTTCTGGGATTTTTCTTCATTTCCTGAAATCAACATTGCACAGTATCATTGTACGCATTTGGCAGGAGAGTCGCCGAAAGTTGCTGTGATGATGCTCGGCTCAAACAGCGTATCCCCCCGTTGAGCCACACAATCTTCATATGCCCATAGGTTGTATCAGGTGTCAATCAAAGAAAACATGAATCCCCTAATGACTTTTAAAAACAGAGCTGTACAAAAAAAAAGAGGACTTGAGCACAAACCAGTCTGACAGTAACTACATGTCAACATCACAACCAAGGGGGAGAAAAATGTATGTTCTGTGTAATAAATTTCTAAAGTTTGTCCACAGCTCCATAAGCTTTACTGGCGGAGGCGGGATTTATGACCTATACTGCAGCCTGTCACCAGAGGGTGCTGTTCTCAGAGTGGCAGTATCTACTGCATACTGCGGTCAGCAGGAGTATGCAGTAGACCAATTCGAAAACAGCCGATATCAGTGACTCTAACGGGACACCAGGGTTCAAAGTTAAAGACACGGACAGAAAGAGGATCGAGAGCTGTACTCTTTAAAGAGAAGATACAAAGTGTCCGCCTAAGAGCAAAGATAACTAATGTGTTTGTGTGAGATAATTCCAGGTGTTCTGTTTGTGTCTCTTCGTGCAGACTGTCACAGTTTAAATCTGCTGCTGGTAAGTGCACAGTAAGACCTCGGCTCAGGATGCTCAGAGGGTCAGCCACAGCAGACAAATCTCTCTCTCTCTCAGAGGATTATTTTGAAAGTATTTTATCATAAAAAGCCTCCATACACTCACGCACCAAAAAAAAAAAAACAACAACAACTGTGAGCCCAGACATCTGCTTTTTATTTCTTGGAAGAGCCTCGGTGCTCCAGGAACATAGAAACAGTGACACTGGCCTTTTTATAGAGTCATTACCCAAGAATTGGGGATATTACAACATCAGAAAACAACACGATAACAGATTATTAACTCTGTTAATGTTCTTCTGTCTCTGTGAATGTTTCAAACCTCAGTGAAGCTGCCAAGGAGCTTGAACCGTGTCCTGTTTTCAACCACTAAATTAGCACCACTTAAAGTATGCAGAGTAAACTCCTTGTTGTTATAGGTTAGACTCGCCCATAGATGTATGAACTACCACCACGGTGAAGATTAAACACTGGAGCACATCAAATATCAGGGCGAGTTCTGCAGGTTTCACACCGACTGTGTTGTATGGTTTTTATTGGCTCTTATTTACAGAGGACACCACAGACGAGGATCTCAGAAAATATGTGTTTGACTAGACATCCTTCCTCCATTATCACTCATATCCTACAAACTGAACATGGTTCAGCACTGCAGCATTATCATTGCACAGGTCTGATTATCTGTTAATAGTAAGAGTTACCATAAATGTAGACGTTAATCGAAAAGGAAAAAATGATGGTATGAACCTAAGGAAGGATTTACTCGCTACCAGACTTGAGTTTTTAGCTCAGTTTCACTGTAAATATTCGTCCCGACGTTTCACTCCATTTTCTCGTGACTCACTCAAAATGAACGGGTCATACATTTGCTGAAATAACGTCCTGATGCAGATTTGTAAAAGGGGAAAAGTCAGGCTTTGTCAGGTTGTCTGATTGATTATTTCTGATACATTCAAGGACAGTGGGAAATCTGCACACTGGATTGTTAACTCTAGTTGAAGATTCGAGTGACCCCCAATTTCCCCCGCATCCGGAACAGCTACTTTAAGGCTGTATCCCCTGATCGTAGCTGATTGTAACTATTCAAGTTAATGTGCCAATTTTCACCGGCTTCTTTCCATTCCGCTGCGGATCGGCGGACTCCGCAGCTGATCGCAAGAGTTCTTTATTTTTCCGGACGCATGCAGGATAAATTCAACACAGATTAACCCGTGCTGGAAAGGAAGTCGGGCACAGACACAAAATAAAACATCCGACTTCTTTTCAAAATAAAACACTCCGTGTTTCTGTATTTTGTATTCCACATCATCCAAACAGGCGGAAACGAACAAGTGAAAGATTTTTAGACATCATTTCACCCCGATGACACCATGGATGAGGAGATGCTGATTCTAGAAGTCTAGAAGTAGATTTCCTCCTCTGGAAGGACACAATCTACTGCTTATATGGATATGTGGCTGTCTTTGTAGAGACAACTCATTATTGAGCAGTTGTGAGTTAATTCGCAGATTCTTGTGAGTTCTTGTAATCCGCCACGAAATTTGCCTCACAAACGGATCTGGTAGGAATTGGCGGAAGGCGAAAATTGCTGCCGTTCCGGATTGGAGCCGTTCCGGGTACTGTGGAAATTCAGGGTGAGAAGAGTGTGAGCTTCACTTGCATGATGCAGATATCTCTTCATATGGAGAGATGGATCAGGTTACAGGTTGTGTTCTGCCTGCTTTTGCTCTCCATACAGATGTTTTATCCTGCAGATACCAAAAACTGAGACCAGAACCGGCTTTTGTACACACTCAGTACATTTACATGACACTTGAGAAAACCAAATTATTGCCTTACTCTGATTAAGACCGGACAACTGAAGTGCATGTAAACACCTTAGTTTGACTATAATTGGAGATTGAGAACTCGGATTGGAGTTGGAGAACTCCAACTTAGACACCCAGATAATGTGATTGGAATTCGGTTTTCTCGACTGTAACCGGCGTATGATCGGAGAACGCATGCGCGCTACGCCCCCGTAACTCCAAAACAAAAACACCAGAGAAGAGGAGTAGCGTGCATCTCATCTGCAGAAAAAGTAGTGCGTACATCATGTACAACAAAAACAATGCTGTACGATGCTCCATCTTCTTGCTCCAAAATGCCCAGCAGCAGTTGTAGACACTTCTGAAGTCTGGCACCGACCTGCTGTTGTTGTTGACAGTCATTTGGGGTCAGAAACGGCGTCACTGAAAAGACCCATATCGCCCCCTAGTTTTGGAGAGGAGGACAAGTTCATGTCAGTAATTCAATTTTCTCAGCTGCATGTATATGCAGTCAAGGAGAGAAGACCGATTAGGCAGGGAAAAAAAGAATTATGAGCTTAGTCCAATTAAACTGTGCATGTAAACGCACTGAGTGAAATCCTGACCCCTGCCAAACAAGACTCTAATTTTCACGAAAGACCTGATTTGAAGATTAAAGAGATCAAACAGCTTTGTATTCTAGCAAAAAACTGGACTTACCCAGTACCGTACTGATAAAGAAATAAGAATAACTCACATTCAGCTCTTCTGCAGAGTGAACTACAAGAGGCTTTCAGCTCACTCTTCCATTAATGAGGCCCTGTGTGCATATTTAAACAGACACACTGCTTGTCAAGTCCCATATTACAGGACGGCTTCATTCCTCAGAGGTCCTGAGGTGAGAGGCCGGCTCCTCACAGCTCTTAATGAGAGCCGACAGCACACCGCAGCAGCCGAAGACGAACAAATCCCCCGGACTGACTGCTGCAGAGAGTAAAGCGACACAAAAAGAGAGATCGGTTTGAAAAAGAGCGGCTCAGGGATCAACACATGAGGTCTGTGTGAGTGTGAGGGGAACTATGCAACTGCAGTGACTCACGGTGGGTTCAACAGGCTGAACAATAGAGTTGAGTCAGCCGCTGGTTTGAAGCGTGACGTGTTTTTACAGGATGTTTTAAATAGAATGACTCTTTAATGGAGGTAGGTCCATTTTTTGTGGCTTATAAAGAGTCCAGCAGAATTCTAGTATTGTTTAATATTAGGAAGATGAGTCGGCCATCTTGATTTCTGTCCTGGACAGGATATTTTTTTTCGTAGGATGGTATGGTAAAGTCCTGCCTCCTTCGCCTCTACTTACTTACTTACTCACGCCTTACACCCCTGTTGGGGTATAGGCCGTCGACAAGGGACCTCTAGAGTACACCACCAACGACCTTCTCACTGCAGCTGACTCCGGTTCACTTTCCATCCTCATCCTCCTCGACCTTAGTGCAGCCTTCGACACCATCTCCCATCCCATCCTCCTCTGTAGACTCTCCTCCATCGGCATCTCCCACACCCCTCTCCGCTGGTTCCACTCCTACCTCACAGACCGCACACAGTTCATCCAGCTCAAATCATTCAAGTCCGACCCCTCCCCAGTCAGTTCAGGTGTACCCCAGGGCTCTGTCCTGGGGCCCCTGCTGTTCATCACCTACCTCCTCCCCCTTGGTTCCATCTTCCATAAATTCAACATTCAATATCACTGCTACACGGACGACACCCAGCTCTACCTCTCCAGCTCACCAAACTCCACCCTCCCACCCACCTCCCTCATCACCTGCCTATCCGAAAATCCTGCCTATCCTGGTTCACCTCCAACTTTCTCCAACTAAACAGTCAGAAAATAGAAATTCTTCTCGTAGGTTCCAAAATCACCCTATCCAAAGTTGACAGTCTCTCCCTTCCCATCGTCAGTTCCTCAGTTTCCCCCTCACCTCAGGTCAAGAGTCTGGGTGTCGTCCTTGACAGTACTCTTTCTTTCAAATCCTACATCAGCCTTACCACTCGGACTGCCTACTTCCATCTCCGCCATGTCAATCGTCTCCGTCCCTCCCTCTCCCCCAACACCACCTCCATCCTCGTCCACAGTCTCGTCACCTCCCGTCTGGACTACTGCAACTCCCTCCTCTTCGGTCTCCCTCACACGTCTCTCCATAAACTTCAACTGGTCCACAACTCCGCTGCCCGGATCATCACCAAAACCCCTTCATCCCACCACATCACCCCCATCCTAGAGCAGCTTCACTGGCTCCCGGTCCCTCTACGAATCCAGTTCAAAATCCTCCTGTATACCTTTAAAGTCATCCACAACCTCGCCCCTCCTTACCTGTCTGACCTCCTCCACATCGCCACTCCATCACGCCGCCTCCGGTCCTCTTCCTCTCTCCACCTCACTGTGCCCCCTGTTCCCCTCAGCACCATGGAGGGCAGAGCTTTCAGTCGCTCTGCCCCCCGACTCTGGAACTCTTTACCATCACACATCCGCAACATAGACTCCCTCCCCCTCTTCAAGTCCAAACTCAAGACACACTTGTTTAAAATTGGCCTATCCATCCCACCACCCCTAACTCACTTTTTCTTAATTAAATTTTAATTGGTATTATTCATTTCTTTATTTATTCCTTTGCTGTTGTTCATGTTTTAATGTTGCTTTGTTGATTTTAACTGTTTGATGATTAATGATTTTAATTGTTAATGGTGCTTTATTATTGTTTTTATATGTTCTGTAAAGTGTCCTTGAGTGACGTGAAAGGCGCTTCAAATAAAATGTATCATTATTATTTTATTATTATTACACGGTCACTGGCGTTCTTTTCTATCTGCGACCAGGTGCAGTCTCTTGGTGTCTACCTGGAGATCTCGCCGCCAGGTGTTTTTAGGCCGGCCGGCCTCTGTTTCTCTTCCCATGAGGGTTCCAGGTCAGAGCCTGCCTGGTGGTGTTTGACTCTGGTTTGCGTAGTGTGTGCCCGATCCATCTCCATCTTCTTCGTCCAATTTCGTCTGCTGCTGGGAGTTGTTGTGTCTTCATCCAGAGATTGTTGTTGCTGATCTTGTTCGGCCAGTAGATTTTCAGGATTCTTCTGAGACATTTGTTTGTGAAGGTTTGTAGCTTGTGTATTGTGAGCTTAGTGGTTCTCCATGTCTCTGCCCCATACAGCAAGACAGATTTAACTTTGGAGTTAAAGATTCTGATTTTTGTTACTTCCTGTATCTCTTTAGAAAGCCAGATGTTATTGAGGAGTAGAAATGATGTTCTTGCCTTGCCTATCCTAGCTTTCACATCAGCATCCGTACCACCTTGACTGCTGATGATAATCCCCAGGTAGGTGAAGGAATCTACTTCATCTAACATTGTGTCACCTATATTGATTGGTTGTGTGTTGGTTGTGTTTATCCTCATGCTTTTTGGTTTTCCCTTATGGATGTTAAGCCCTATTTGTGCAGATTTCACTGAAAGTCTATTTGTCTTTTCTTGCATTTGGTGGTGATTATGTGACAGCAGTGCCAGGTCGTCTGCAAAGTCTAAATCGTCCAGCTGTGTCCACAGTGTCCACTGGATCCCGCTCTCCTTTGTTCCGTTGTTTTTCTCATAATCCAGTCGATGGCTAATAAAAACAAGAATGGGGATAATAGACATCCCTGTCTGACCCCTGTCTTAATCTGGAACTGCTCTGTGAGCTGTCCGTTGTGTATTACTCTGCAAGACATTCCAGAATAGCTATTCTTAATGATGTTCACCAGCTTGGTGGGCATTCCATGGTGTCTCAATAATTTCCAGATGGTCTCTCTATGTAATCGACAAAGTTCACATAGAGTGGCGAGTTCCACTCTAAAGACTGTTCTTTGATGATCCGAAGAGTGGCAATCTGGTCGACACAAGACTGATTTTTCCTGGATCCTGCTTGTTCGTCTCTTAGTTGCTGGTCAACTGCATCTTTCATCCTATCCAGGATGACTCTGTTTAGCACTTTCCCTGGCACAGAAAGTAGGGTGATTCCTCTGTAGTTATTGCAATTTCCCAGGTTTCCTTTCTTTGGGAGCTTGTTGATAAGGCCCTCTTTCCAGTCAGATGGTATTTCTTCTTCCTCCCAGATCCTTTTCAGAAGTGGATGCAGCAGGCTGACGGTGGTCTCCATATCTGTCTTAAGGACTTCTGCCTGGATGTTATCTGGCCCTGCTGCTTTCCCACTCTTCAGCTGCTTTATGGCTTTCCTGATCTCCTCTCTGGTAGGTATGAGACAGCTGATGGGAAGGTCGGTCTGTGCAGGTTGGATATCTGGAGGGTTTGCTGGTGGGGGTCTATTAAGCAGTTCCTCGAAGTGTTCTGCCCATATACGTAGTTGGCCATCCTTGGTAATGCCTTTTCCTTCCTTATCCTTGACCGGTCTTTCTGGCCTGCAATATTTGCCCGACAACTTTCTTGTGATGTCGTAGAGCTGCTTCATATTCCCCTTTCTTGCTGCTTCCTCGGCTTCTTCTGCTAGGTTGTCGATGTGTTTGTGCTTGTCTGCCTTAATGCATCTCTTTACCGTTCTGTTGACCTATACTCTTCTTGTGCCTTTGCCTTTGATGCTCTTGTGCGGCTATTTGAAACCGCTGCTTTCTTCTCTTTTCTTGTTTGGATCTTGTGTTGGGTTTCTGCAGATATCCATTCCTTTTGTTGGAATTTCCTGTAGCCGAGCACTTCTTGGCATGTGGATGTTAGTACGTTTCTGATGTGTTGCCACTGACTGTCGATGCTGCTCTCCTCTTCAAGCAGGTCCTGGAGAACTTCAGATTTGTTTGATAGTTTCAATCTGTATTCTTTTTTTGGCTCCCTCAAAAGGCTCACGTTGTATTTCTGTCTGTTAGCTGTTTTCTCTGTGTTGTTCTTCTTTAATTTGAGTTTCAGTTTAGCAGTTAGCAAGTGATGGTCCGATGCTACATCTGCTCCCCTTTTAACTCTCATGTCCTGTAGTGATCTTCTGAATTTCTTGCTTATGCAGATGTGGTCTATTTGGTTCTCTGTTGTGTGGTCGGGTGATACCCATGTTGCTTTGTGTATCCTCTTATGGGGGAAGATGCTGCCTCCGATAACAAGCTTGTTAAGTGCGCAGGTATCCATGGACTTCTCTCCATTTTCACTTGTTTCTCCAAGTCCATGTGTTCCCATCACCTCTTCGTATCCGATGTTTACTTCTCCTACTTTTGCATTAAAGTCTCCCATAAGGATGGTGATGTCCGTCTCTGGATATTTGGCCAAGATGTTCTGAAATCTGTCGTAGAACTCCTCCTTTTCTTCTTCTTCACTGTTGTTTGTTGGAGCGTAGCATTGAATAACATTCATCTATATTTTTCCCTGTGTTGTTCTGAATGATGCTGTGATGATCCTTGGTCCATGGGCCTCCCATTCTATCAGCGCTCTCTGTGCAGCTCTTGATAGCATGAGAGCTACCCCTTCTGTGTGTGGGGCATCATCCTCTTCATGGCCTGAGTAAAGCAGCAGCTCTCCACTCATTAGTCTTTTCTGGCCCGATTGCGTCCATCTTGCCTCGCTGATCCCCAGAAGTACAGGACTGTAGTTTTTCATCTCTTGTGCTATTTGGAAGGTTTTCCCTGCTTGGTACATTGTTCTCACGTTCCATGTTCCGATGGTAATGTTCTTCCTGGTAAAGAGAAGGATGGTCGGTCCTGCGGCTTCCAGGGGCTCCTGGCTTACACAACACAACGTCATGTTTCTTCGAACTGAAGAGCTCCTCTCTCCCAGGCCCGTGTCCTCTGTTTGTTTTCTTGTCGGCGTTTCTGTAACTGAAATGTTTTACGGGGTGGGGTTGTTAGCCCCACGCCCAACCCCCAACCTGGAGGACCAGGTGCTGCATTCGTCCGACCTCTCGTCTAAAACCTGCCCGGCATGGTTGCACCTACCCTCCAGTATAGCCTTCAGAGTCAC